GGGATAGCACTATTAAGTGGTACACCGACGGCTCGAAAACAGCGGAGGGGATTGGTGCAGGGGTCGCAGGACCAGAGTGCACCTCATTTGGGTGCCTGGTCACAGGGGTATAGCAGGAAATGAACTTGCTGACAAGTTGGCCCGCTCTGCAGCCTACACAAAAAGGGTAGGACCAGAACCATGCGTAGCGGTTGATCCACTATATTAAAGAGCTGCTTCATATAAAGGAAAGAGCAGGCAGGGAGACACAACATCTCCAAGGCATGCGCCATGCCAGGTTTCTGATGAGGGGTTATGACCTCAGACGGTTTAAAACCGTAATCAATTTTCCGAGAAATAAATTCCGGCTACTTGTCGCTTTCTACATCGGACATTGCAGGTTCAACTAGCATTTATTTAACATGGGCTTTGTCTCTTCTGCAAACTGCCGGTTCCGTAGCATGGAGTCCGTAACCACAGAACACTTGCTAGTGGACTGCACAGCAGTCTGCAGACACATATTTAAGGCTCTGGGATCCATGTTTCCAAACAGGGATCGCATCGCTTCACTAGCACCTAGCAGTATATTGGAGTTCATTATTATGCAGGCGCTAGATGAGTCGTTGTGACCTAGGGGAGGGCACAATAGACCATAGGTCGAGGTGCATACCTCTATCCTTATCTATCTATATAGTATATATGGGACAGTGCGCCCCGACAGATGAAATTCTAGGTATGTATATGGGAGCTAGGTTTAGTATTGACCCTATTCTATATATGTTTGCCTTCACGACATACTATAACAGAAAAAGGTGTTCGCAAACTTTCAATAAGATACATCACATACGGACCAATATATAAGGTATAAAGTATATTAGGCATAAGGGGAAAGTTTCACCTCTTGAGCTAGGTAAAATTTTGACTGCATTCACTTTCATCTGTCAGAATTTTCATTTTTGTACCATTTGGCACACAGCTTTTATACTTAGTCCTGCCACAAGTTCAGTTACATTTCAGTTAAAGATATATTTTTTAATAATGTATTTATTAACACTAGAACTACGAACCGGTCAAAATAACCGATTGCATAATTTATTTATACCACATGTTATGATTTATATTAAATTTGTGTATAGAATAATATTATAGATTATTTTGTTCTTACGCTTCTAATTTTCAGAGAGAATGAGACCTATTTGAAAAAGGTATATGGTAAATCTTCGTAGTTCTAGTGTTAAAGGAGCGATGTACGAATTGTTATTCGAAATGGTCACCTTTTGCTTTCACACAAGCTTTCAAACGGTTTGACCATTGATCAATATCAGCACGCACAATTTCTATTGGTATTGACAACGCTGCTCTAACCAACATTTTTTCTCAAATTTAGACTTTATAAGTTTTGAACATTTCAAGTTATACCATCTTTGTACTAGGATTAGTCTTTGCGACAATATAAGACTATTTCTGCTAGCACATAAAACCGTGAGTAGGAGCTTCAAAAAAGTAACCCTGGTCGGTGTACACAGTTTTTCTTGCGTATAACTTATTTTTGCATTGATGGCCTTCGACGGTGCTTCAAATATATAACCCTGAAGGGCCCAACACCGGGGTTTCTCACAAGAAGGGAAATACTGAAAGATATTTTATTGTACAACACCGATAATGGTTCCTGTACTTGGGGTATAATTTTTCTTTTCGTTTTATTTTTGTTCGTTTGCAAAATATATTAGTATGGTAACACTGGTTATTTGTCAGTATGCAACCGTTTTGTTGTTGTGTGAATAAATAAGTTGAATATTGAAATAAAGCCCTTTTTGCACTATATAATGTGAAATACAGGTATACAAACGAATTAGTGAAGTGTTAATGGACAAAAAAAAAAATGAAAAATATAAGTGTAAAATCCATCTTAAATCGAAAAAATACGTACTTTAAATAGTTGAAATTTTTCAACTTTAAACGCAAATATCTCGAAAACTACAAGTTTCCCGCGGCTATATACACCAACCCACACTTTGAATAGGACACCCCAAAACTATTTGCTTTTTCAACTTAGTATATAAATAGTAAGCAAAAAATGCTTATTTTTTTTAAATTCCGTGTTTTCTTTAAATAAAACATAAATTTTTTATTAATATGAATAAAAACAACCACAATTTACGCTATAATAGCAGAAAAAATGAACAGATTTACATTTATTGTGTGTTCAGTTGAACTCCCACTTGAAATAGGATAGTTATCGCAGGGCGCCACAGCACCGTTACGAATATTTTGTTTAAGAACTAAACTGAAATTGAAAATGGTTTTAGTAGTTTATTAACTGGCAACGTAATAAATTTATTAGCGACTAATATTGGAATAATGGGTTGCCCTAGAATTACAAAAAAAATAAATTATTATTAATTACAAAAAAAGAAATTATTATTAATAATTACAAAAACAAAAATTATTATTAATTACGAAAATAAAAAATCTGAAAGGGAAATAGACGACATTGCATGCAAAAAAAAATCATTTACATCATAACATTATTCAGCGCTTTAAGGGGTTACATGGGTTTTACGTCTTCAAAAGAAAAAAAATGTTTTATTGTATTATTTAATTCTATAACATCTCTAGAAAATTGTCCTAAATTCTCAAGTCGATCCCAGTAATAGTTTTGACACACTGCTTTGAAATGTTGAGCGCTCGAAGTGAGCTATATAATCACTTAAAACGACGATCTAACCCTGTTTGGATCGGTAAGTTTTAGATCACTTAAAACTTTAAACGCATTTTTCTTGAAACTGTGTTTTCAAAGTCGGTTGTGAAGATTTTTCACAACTGCTCAACCCGTCTAAATGAAATTTTACCCACACCTTTGAGATATAATTTACAAGGTCTTAAACGAAAGATTTGTTTCTTCAATTATTATATAACTATTTAAAAACAAAAAACATCGAGAAATTTTCACCAAAATTTGGCATTTTTTTGCAAAAACGTCTGACAAAAATAAAGTTTTCACTTTTTTAGTTTTTCCGTCGTCTAATACTTTTATGGTCTTAATTCAAACTCTTTTTTTTCTTTTGATGATCCAGTCAGAAATCCTTTGCTCCGAGGGACATCCGGAAATGACGTCGTAATGACCGAGTTTTGAATATTTTCCTTAGAAAATTTTACAAAATTGCAAAATCGGCGAAACCCATGTTACTCATTAAAAAAACCGTATTAACTGCTGTAGTTAAAAGAAAAAAGAAAGTTGTATTAAGTGCAGAAACAGTAGAATGCTTAGACAAAACTAACTTTTCGCCAGAATACCTCGTCGAAAACCACTGATATCACAAAAAAAAAACCAAAGAATGGAATTTGCTCTGAAATATTAACATAAGCACTTTTCTTTCTGTAGAAAGGTAAAGTATTTTTAAAACTTCGTGTGTATTTCAGTTATTCTTCGGTTCTTTTCACTGACGAAACCAAAATTAACATTTTTGGATGGGACGGCAAGCGTTTCGTTTGAAAAATGCCTGGCACAGAATTGAACGACTAAACCTTAAAATATAAACAGTCAAGTTCAGGGGTGGCCCACTGATGATTTGGGGTAGTATGTCGGGAGATGGGGTTGAAAAACTGCATTTTATAGACGGACTGTTAGATGATAAAGGATATATAGACATTCGGAAAGTAAATGCTCAAACGAGCGCGGAAAACTTGATATTCGTGATGGTTTTATGTTTTACCAGGACGACCCAAAGCATAAATCCTGAAATGCTAAAAATTGGTTGCTCTAAAATTGCCCAAAAGCACTTTGTACGCCTGCTCAATCTTCCGACATTAATATCATAGAACATTTATGGGTAGAAAAAAACCGTAGAAGAAGAATGGAGCCAAATAGAAGCTTCGGTATACAAAAATCGTGTGGAAAGTATGCCACGTCGTCTCCATGAGGTCTTAAATAATTTTTTTCTTAACTCTACAGTTTGTCTCATTTCAAGTGTGAATTGCATTGAACGCACAATATATGTATATGCTCATTTTGATTTTATAGCATAAACTTTGGTTTTTTCATCATGTTTATAAAAAAAATAAAATGGGGAAACTTTAGTATAAAATCGGTATGGTTAGATAGAGGATATTTTCCAAAAACAGTATTTTTTAATTTCGAGTGCAGAAACTTTTCAACCAACCTGTAGCTTGAAAACTATAAGTTTCCGGTGGCTATAATTATATCTATTCTCGATCTAGAGAATCTCCGGGAAAACTTTAGTTTAGCAGCCCACGATTTCAGGGTTAAGAGGGGTATGGTTGGATAGAGGAGATTCTCCAGATCACGAATATATATAATTATTGCCGCCGAGATATTTGCATTTTGCACACCCCGATTTTGGACCGACCAGGGTTATAATTTTGAGGCCTCCTTAGTTGGGGGACCTAAACTATACATTTACCGCAAATAATTAAATATTTAATATAAAATAAATATGTAGAAACATTGAAGTGAAAAGTTAGTGTATAATAAGTGCATAATATAGATAAAAAAAGATAACCATTAATCGAGAAATTGTAAAATAAAATTTGTGAAATTTTCAACTTAAAATGCAAATATCTCGAAAACTATAAGTTTCCGGCGGCAATATATATTCGTGATCTGAAGAATCTCCACTATCCAACCATACCCCTCTTAACCCTGAAATCGTGGGATGCTAAACCAAAGCCCAACCGAATCTCCTCTATCCAACCATAAAAATGGGGATAAATATCGGGACGGTATACTAATGCCAACCCGAATTATCTATTAATTTACATTGTGTGACGGGTGAACTCAGACTTTATAGGCTATGTGTATATTCTAAAACCGTTCCGTGGTAAGCAAATAAGCTTCGGCTTTTTTTATTTTGACACCGCAGAAAGAATTGGATGAACAACCCAAAGGAGATTTTGTTTTCCTTCTGGGCTTGCGCTCATAAGAACTCAATACATACAAATGTAGGTATGGATATTCCTGTACTTTCTAAGACTTGACATACATATATAAAAGTACGTACCAAGGAAAGTTTCCAAATCCGTTCCAATGACTGCATTAACATCTTAAATAACACTATTTTCAACTTCAATTACCGGCAGTCATAACAAAAAATCTTTCACCTAACGCAGCGTACCGACTAGCAATACATGTTATCTAGACACCGCTCTTCAGATTATCAAAGGAACATGCATATTGCATATGTTACGAAAAACTTATCTAAATAACAAATAACCATGCTGACAATATCTGTCTTTTTAGTGATTTGACAGCTTTATCTTCATTTCTTTAAGAAATTTATAGCGGCAACATAAATTCCATCAAACAAGTTCTTATGGCTATGAGCAGATAGTTGATTTTCTCCAGATTAAGAATATATATAGATATAACCACGGGAAACTTGTAGTTTTAGTGATATTTTCGTTTAAAGTTGAAAATTTCCCTATTTAGGGTACATAATTTTTCGATTTAAGATGTATCTTTCACTTTTATATCCACTAACACTTCACTTATTCGTTTATTCACATTAATTTCACATTATGTAGTGCAAAAATGGCTTATATTCAATATTAAAATTTTGATTCAGTTCTATTTACTCACACAATAACAAAACGTTCATACTGATAAATAGCCGGAGTTACCTTGTCAACATCTTTTGTAAATGAACTGAAAGAACTGCACTAAACCGACTACTTCCTGCGTTTGCGGCCCACGGCCGCTCTTAAAAAAAAAACCCCTGGTGGTTCCTGTGTGTGGGGTTTCATTTTTCTTTTTCTTCTACTTTTATTTATTGGTTTTTTTTGAAAAATATATTATTATGGTAACACCGTTCATTTGTCAATATGCAATCGCTTTGTTATTGTGTGAATAAAAAAAGTTCGATCACTGGATTGTTTAATTAAAGTCCCTATATAATGGCTACACATATATCCTGATTTCCAAATTAAACAACTCAACACTTATTGCTCGTTATTCGAGCTAAAAACTTCTTGCTTATGTCTCAAATGCTCTTAAGTGGACTTTTACACAGGGACTCAAAAGAGTCTCAACCAGACGAGGAAAGACGAAGGAAGACGCTTTGTGTTCTTGTTCGTAACAGCTCGCTGCTACCCTTTTCAGCATTCCTTTTCACTTTCAAATCCTTTGAATGGTTGCAAGAGCGCTCGGTTTCAAATGAATTCGATCGCAAATTTGAATTCTGTTATCTATTTTTTGTATGTAATATGCAAATATGTATGCATAAAGTAATAGAAATATTATGACAATTTGTAAATAAGGAGAAAAGTAAGATATAGATTATGGAGTAGAGAAGTTATGAATTTTTAATACAGAGTAAAGAAATTATGAGTTTTTAATACTTAAAGATTAGGAAATTCCTATTATAAATTTGGCCTTGAAAATATTAGTAGCGGATATTCAATACAATTCTTGTGGATTAGGGAATTCCCGTCTTTAGTATTTCGTTGAAACTATTTAGCGGGTAGGTACTTGTATTATGCATATTGTTCTACCGTATTTATGGTAATTCATTGCAAGCTAAATGTGTGACCATCATCTCAACATACAAATGAAATACGCAGCACGCAGTGTTGCGCAGTCGACCCTCACAAATATTTGTGAAAAGGAATGCAGAAAAACTAGACTCGAGTTGATGGACTCTTTTTGACCGTGTGAATGCACAGAGCGACACCAAATGAAAATTTGAAAAAAATGAGACTCTTTTGAGTCCCTGTGTAAAAGTGCACTAACATGACATCACTCTAACTAGAACCAGAGATTAAGAGATGCCCAACTCGTCTCTCACTGGAAATGAGAGCGCAATTGCTAAACGCCTAAACCTACTGAACTCAAGCAACTGTGAAAGTTCAGTAGGTCAGTAGGTAGGACGTTTAGGAATTGGAAAAAGAAGGACGGCCAGATTGAAATCCTGTAAAATTATTATTCGAATGGAGACATTTTTCATATTTTGCTCTTCATTTATAACGGCCGTTATTACGAAGAATAACAAAAGAAAATTAGCACGCAGCTTGTGTACATGTAAGTATATTTTAATTTTTATTAGATAAACTAGCCATTATTTAATAATTTTAACTTTATTTTACAGCCGAAATGCCAAAAGTGAATTGGAAGAAGTGTGTTGCTGGCTGCAGCGAGGAAGGACGTGTGTTCAATTTTCCGAATGAGGGAACGGATCTCGAACGGTAAATCATAAAATTAGTAATTAAATAGTACAAAAAGTGTGTTAAATGTGTGATAATATTCCCAAAAAGTGTTTAAAAAAGTTTGAAGTGTGTTTAAAAAAGTTTTAAGTGTTAAAATATAATTCGATAGTTTTCGATATATTAAAATTTAGATAATTAATTTTTTGAAGTCACGACTGTGCGCATGTCATTAATTATTTTGGATGTGCTATTAATAATATAATTTAAATTTTAGTTCTACAAATATTAAGTGCAAAAGTGATCAAAAAAGTTTTAAATAAATGTAACAAATGTTAAAATATTATATGAGTTTCGATAGTTTACGATTTATCTAAATTTCATTCTTAAATTATTGTAACGGATTTCTCGATAAATCGTCTACCAGTAACTCACTCTTGAGTTCGATCACTGGATTGTTAAATAAAACTCCCCAATTTAATGGCTACACACTTATCTTTATTTCTAATTGGAACAACTTAACACTTATTGCTCGATATTCGAGCTTACAACTTCTTGCTTATGTCTCAATTGTTCTTATCACGACAACACTCTAACTAGAACTGTGTTTGCTGCACAATCCGGCAGCCCTTATATAGTAAATCTGTAACAAAACATTGCTTCTAGAACATTCTGGCAACTACGAATTCGCTAACTAGTTGTTTCTGGCAGTTTATCGTTCATTCGATTTTGTTCTATCATCCGTGTTCGTCACACTGCCCTTCACCTAAGTCTGATCGTCCCGATTAGACATATTTGCGATACCAAACACAAAGCTTTTATATCCCCCATCTCGTCTTCTAGGCTGGTGCTGACATCGTTAGCCGTCCTTCTCTTCTTGGTGTTGAAATGGTCCTTGACTACCAAAACATGATTATTTCCTAATTTATTGGTAGGGAATGGACCATCTTCATACACGCCTATTTTTTCAACTGGCGCACGCGAATTGTGCTGTTTCATCTGCCCATAACTCCTATACCTTGATCCTTTAGCTACAATGTTGTCAGCATATTTCGCAATCCTTTCTATAGCTGATTGACAACCAGTCCAATAAAACCTTTGCTTCAAATGCTCCAAGGATTTCATGTCTTTCAAGTGCCCTCCTCTTGGACATTTGTACTGCACATTAAGAACGTCAGGAAATCAACCCTTGGAACAACCATAAGTACTCGGAAGGGTTGCTTATTTTCGCTTCTCCATACTCGATGCAAGCAGCCATACACTAACTTTAAACTGCTCCGTTCTGCCCAATATGATTTTGTGACTGGCCTTCCTGTAGTTATTTCTCCAATCGTTGTACATTGGTTCAACTCCACCTTATGTAAAGCACCTTCCAATTTTGGATCTTCTTGCACAGAGTCATCCGTTTGAGGTTCAATTTTATGCTGATCTTCCACCTGTGATGGTATACACGCTTCCTGCTCTTCCAACTGTAAGGACACTTGTGCTGGTATCCAAGCTTTTTTGCTCTTCTAACTGTGAGGAACCTTTTCCTGGTTCACACGCTTCCTCCTCTTCCAACTGTGAGAACACCTGCCCTGACATTCGCAGTTCCAGCTCTTTCGACTGTGAGGACCCTTGTACTGGTACACACGCTTCCTCCTCTTCCGACTGTGAGGACACCTGCGCTGGCATGCGCCCGTTCAGTTCTTCCCACTGCGAAGACACTTTTGCTGGTATGCAAGCTTCTTGCTCTTCATACTGTGAAGATGCTGGTTCACATGCTTCCTCCTCTTCCAACTGTGAGGATACCTGCGCTGACATATGCACGTCGAGCTCTTTCGGTGCTGACAACTGTGCTGAAAAACGTGCATGTTGCGCTGCGAACAGCTCTTCGAAATGCGTTGACAATCACGTTTCCATTTGAGACATATGTGTATCCTGTTCTTTAAATTGTGTGGACATTAGCGTTGACATCTTTTTCCCCATCTGCGATATTGCAGCAAAAATCATGTTTATGTCCACAATCTTTGCCGAGCATTGAGCCTCTTCCTTTCCTTCTATTATTGTTGTCTCTTCCTCTAATTCCATGTGAAAGACATATTCCTCAACATTAATGTTTTCCTCCTCCATGGCCTCTCTCAACCGTGATTGTAATTCAGTTTTTAATCTATATTAGATCAATTTCTTTAGATAGTACTTTATAAAGTAAGTTTTTAAAAGAAAATGCTTTTATTTATTTTTGCGGCTATCTTTATTTAAAAATTTTCAAATGCACTCATGCTCCCTTCCATAACCTTATTTAGAAGATGAAATTCCTTCGGACAAATTCATCTTCATTTATCAAAATCAAATAGACAAATGCAATTTAGTGAAGCCGCCTCAGGAGTTTGTTGCATTTGTAAAAGTCTTGGAAACAAAATTTTTAGAAGAATTCGATAGTAGTTGTCATAAGATAGGAATAGGAGACATTCTTTTTAATGAAATGAAAGATGTTAGGCCCTTTTTGTGTTGTGAAAATTGTGACCCGAAAATAGTTATAGCCCTTTTCATTCGAATAAGAAATTATTTTGTAATTAAATTTTTAAATAAAGAACTTTCTGTCCCTAATTTTAAAAATAAAATTTTGTGTGTTTCACACCTATAGGTTTTTATATTTATTTTTTAGTGGTTACAATAAGTGAACTTAGAATTTGGGGTTTAAATGTAGGCATTTGTATATATGTATATTTTTATATTACTAAATATTTTATTTTATCGGCATACCTCCTGGGTGGTGTGGAAACTGCAAATTGCGTATTTTAATATAAATGCCCAAAAATTATTATTTTGTCCGATTTGGCTACAATAGAAAATGTTATAAAAAACGCTAATTTTGAGGCGCTCTCACACTGGAAAGAGTTGGGCATCCCATTATCCCTGCTAGAACTGTGTGTGATGCACAATTTGGCAGCCCTCATATAGTAGATCTTTATCAAAACTTCGTCTCTAGAACATTCTGGTAACTACGACGCTGTCTAGTTGCTTCTGGCAATTTATCATTGATTCGATTCTGTATTTGCGGTACCAAACAT